AAAAATTTTAGGTTTGATAACTAAAATTTAAATTTAGTAAATTCGTATGATAATAAATCCAATGGATATCGTTGAATGGCTAATGCTGAAATTTTGATTATTTTATTATTAAATTTTTATAATTTTTTGGAGTGTAATAGTTTGAGTAGAGTTTAGGGTCAGGGTTTATTAATTAAAGTGTATAGATGGGTTTTAGTAGGTATTATAGAGACCCCAAAATTTAAGCATCAGCTGCGACAATTATTAACAGTTGCTACTTTTCATTAAATTCATTAAAGTTAGGCGAGACCAATTTGATTCAGTGGTTTATTATATCAATATTGCTATTTATTTTACAAAAATTTTTTTTTAAAAAAAACACAATTTTTAACAGTTTTGTAAAATTCTTTTTATTATCAAAAAAGATAAACGATAACGAAATACGTTGATTATTAAATTAAATAATAAATTCATTGAATACCCATTAGATTTAATATGTTGATTATTTCAGTAACCCAATTCGTTTATTGGAACACAAAATTAAATATCAACCTATTAAGACAGAAAATAAAAAATTAATTCTCTGATCAAATAAATTCCAAGAAAATTTAATTATACATACTCTCCGATTGTTGTTAAAAAAAAGAAAATAAAAAACAATAAAAATATTTCTTTTTTTTGAGTGTCAAATTTATTGTTTAATTTATCGATTCTCTCTAGAATTTGGCCAAATTCTTCGTTGGAGTATGCTTTTTAAGTCCAAAATATACTAAGACAGTTGTGTTGATATCAGCAAATCATGTGAGTGAAATATTTTTATTTGAATTTGCGAGAGTTAAAGAGCGTTTCGAAAATGTGTCATCATCTATTACATAAATTCCCAAAGTATTTACTGGATAATTAGAAATTTCACTTTCAAAATGCTTAATTTGACCAACAGTAACTTTAGTCCTTTCATTATGACAGTGAACCAAAATTAAGCGTCTTTGCTTGTGGCTGAATAAATGTATAATACCTTCATCAGGTTTAGAACTAAAAAAAAATAAAATAGAATTATAAGTTCATCATAATCGTTAATGCAACCTATTCACTACAGGCTTCCGCGCGAAGCTAGATCGAGCTTTTCAGATTAAACATACGGAGAAGGACGTTCACAGGTATTCCTGTGGCCATGATATGCTTCCTGTTCTCCGATACAATCCTAGTGGCAGCGTAACTTCAGATACATAACGTAAAAATCAACTTAGTGATATCTCACCTCAAAACATTGAGATTAATATTAATAAATTGCATCGCTGTATGAACTTTATAAATTAAAGAAGGTTCGCGAAAATTACTAAGTGTTTTCATGATGAGATAGTTATGATAATTAAGAAGTTTGAAAAAGAAACATACTGACACTAATGTAAATCTACTGGCTCAATAAATTTTCTCACATTTTCAGGGGAAAAACGTTTACATCTCGCAATTTCAATTTTAAAACAATATACAAAAAAAAAAAAAGAACCTTATAATATAAAAAGTATTGCTGGAAAATATTGAGTTTGTTTAAAATTACATACCAACTCTATTTTGAGTTAATAGTGACAATTAATAGGTTTTTCTTTATAGCAGCTACTAAGCAACTAGATATCGATTGGTTTAAAATCTTGCCCCTAAAAAATTATAATCGACGTTTTGCGTAATTTCAGTAGAATTATGCAAAACGCCGATCATAATTTTTGTGAGTAGCGCCACTGCCGCAATTGGATGTAGAGTATGTGTGTGATTGTCAATTTTTCCAATACTATCTCGAGTTATTTGTCGTATCTGTAAATTTGAAGCTGCTCTGGTGGACTCATCAGGGATGATGATTTTATGCATCTATAATTATGTTAGTATTTTGTACCCAAATTTACAATTATGCGGATATGCCTTACAATCATTTCACCGGAAGCTCACTTAGCTGCAGAGATGGTAAATGACTTGAAATGACCCAAATGACTAGTGATTCGTCATTGGGTCATTTCACATTCAAATGACCATGGCGATAGAAGGTCATTTAACATTTGTTAACTGATAGTCTAACGCCTTTTAGCCAATCAAATTTATTATTAGATATACCGGTAAATTAATTTTATAAAATATTATCGATAGTAACTACATATTGAGTGCTGCCAAGGGAAAAGGGCACCTCGTACTTTTAAATATAACCTTTGATCAGATATCTCAATAACTACTGCATCAAGTTCGATAAAAAATTTTTTATTTGAATTCTACAGATCAGTAGAATTCAAATAAAAAAATTTTTATCGAATTTGATGCAGCAGTTATTGAGATATCTGATCAAAGGTTATATTTAAAAGTACAAGGTGCCCTTTTCCCTTGGCAGCACTCATATAAAAGTCAAACTTTACTAAGTTAATCGATATTTTAATCGATCTAAGTTTCTCCTATCCTAAACAACTTTACTGAAGATGTAAATATTGATTAACCTAGTAAAATTTTGACTCTGTGTAGCTATGATCATTGATTAGTGAAATCACAGCTTTTTATATTAGCTATCTAACCATTCATATATAAATGACCTAAATGACCTAATGTCCCAAATTGACCAGGTCATTTACTCAAATGACTTGGTCATTTAAATTTTGAGTAAATGACCTGGTCATTTACCATCCTTGCTTAGCTGACATCACGCCAAGTGACAATTTATATGTTTGCAACTAATAAACCGCTAATATTAACCCTGTGTGTTGGCTAAATAAACTTTCGGTGAAATGATTGTAGGTGAAGTGAGCAGCATCATTCAATTTGCATAAAATCATCGTCCCTGACTCTTATTATAGATGTGACTAGGGTTGAAAATTGTAATTTTACGTAATTTCAGTAAATCAAATTTCATATAACTTTATATCACGTTATATTGTACCAGCTTTGCAAAAGTTCAGCCAGTATTATTTGAGTATATAGTAAAGTAGTACAGTATGGAAATGCAAATTAGGACGGACATATAGAAATCATGATAGTACGTATGGTTTATAAAAGAAAAATTTTCAAACCAAATTACTTTTTTTACTAGCTTTGATTCCAACCATTAAAAGGTTTACTTATAAAAATCGAATTTGCAAGTCTGTATTTGTTAGACGTCACTTTCAAATTTCCGTCAATTAAAAATTGACGTAAGTAACGTTAAAATTGTAAGGTATCATTCAATAATAAATTAAGAATTAAAAAAAGAAAAAAAAAACATACAAATTATATATTTATTAATTATCTCATTTACATTAACACTTCACTACTGTACTATTAAAATTACTTTAAGCAACAAAAAAATATTTTAATGAAATTGAAAACACTAGACTAATGCATAAAATTTTGAAATATAAAGAATGCTTCACAGAATACGACTCAACTACATTGAAAAGTAGAAAAAGTATTGTTTTTACAACAAGAAAGGTTTTATTTTATATTACTTGTTATTATTTTTTATATTTTAATCAATTTCTTATTAGATGTTTCGTGATATTTTGAAAAGGTCTTATTAGTTGAGTTTGTGAGATACCGCGTTTCATAAAATCTTCAATAGGATAATCACAGTATGTTTATCCAACTGAATATTCAACTCATCGATAACTCCAATTTTAACTAATTTAATGATATTAAGAACCTTGGTTTTTGTGAGTTTTTAAAACAGCTAAACAGCGATTATATTTTGAATAATCAATTATACTTTCATTTTTTTCGGCCATTCGACTATTCACATAGCTGTCAACAATTTATTCAAAGAGTTGAAACAAAAAAAAGTGAATGACCAAGCCATTTTGCAAAGAAAATAATAACATTTTTTTTTAAAAAATACATACTTTAGTTTTATGTTTGTACATTACATTTAATCAGTATAAAATTTAAACTCACGTATGTAAATTATTATTTATTGACGAAAATTTGAAAGTGATGTCTAATGTATTAACCGTACGTACGATAGTATAATCTTCGTACGTCTGTCTGAATCTATACTGCCATACAGTACTACTTTACTGAATACCTGTATTATTGCATCATTTGATTTATTTAAATGTAACTCTTCAATCACCGAAAATTTTGATCTCAGAAAGTACAAATTGTGAATTACAAAGTACATGAAAACTATGTTACCGTAAATTTACACAAAATTATGTAATTTTACAACCCTATATGTGACCTAATAAATTGTTTCAGCTCGAATTAAACATAATTTAGGCCGAAAAGATTGATCTGGTAGAAACATATGGGTGAAAACCAATTTCTTGATAATTTAAATGTGAATGATTAGGTTAAATAAAATTTGAGCAAATCATTTATGTGATATGGCATGATTATTGAGAATAAAAATGAATAAATTTGTATCCGATTATAACCTGATGCTTATAATTTTTGCACATATAAAAAAATTTTATTATTATCGTTATTTAAACGGATGATTCACAAGATAATTTTAATTTTTTAAAAATATGAATCCTGGACAACAAACTGTTGTTTTCTTCTCCTCAAACAAAAAAGGAAATGGCAAAGATTTTGAAGATAGAATTAAAAATATTTTATGAATATGAATATAGAATTACGTAGACTTAAGTGAGTATTCACTAAGTCATTTGTCTAATTGTTGTGTATCTGAAGTCGGCTGCCACTAGAAAACTCATTGTGGCTATAATCATGGTTATGAATGTTCTTCTCGTGTAATCAAAAAGTTATTTATGGAGTTGCTCTAGACCTGTGGTGGATAGTTGAGAATTGAAAGCTCTTCGTGGCCATAATAATATGATTACAAATGTTCTTGATTCTTGGCAATAATGAAGATAAATGCTCAATTTGATTTTTTTATTTTAATCTGATAGACACGCACCAGGCGACAGGGGTGTCGATTTGATAGGAGGTAGTTCAATGCAAGGTATATTGGGGTGTCTAGTGCAAGTCTAATTTTAAACACAGTGTTAGGTAACCATGTTATTAATTAATTTTTAATAAGCGATTGTAAAAGTAAAAACATATAAATTCAAGTTGCAATATCTCTTGAACTAATAAACATACAAATAAAATATTTTTATTAGACTTCTCTTGGTGTGTTTTTAATGCAATAATGTTATTTTTTCTTTTTATAAATATCAAAGTAAAAGATTAATCAAAAAATCAAATACTAAAAAAATAAAATATAATATTACATTAAACTCTTATTAAGAAAAGTCTAGTTTTATTTGTGTATATTTACTAATTTAAGATTATTTATATGTTTTTATTATTTACACTATCGCTATTATGATATAACTAACAGTTAGGAAATATGTAATATATAGTAATATATGAGTTTTAATTCATAATAAAAATTATAAAAAAACATAAATTTACTATAAACTTTAAGCTTAACATTCTTTTCAACTTATAAATTAACTTATTTTAAATTTTAGAATTAAGTATATCGAAAATAGTAAAATAAGGTAACTTAGAATGATATTTTAAAATTTTGTAAAAATTTTAGATTTTATTAATAAATTTTTTTTAAAACCGAATTTATATCCAAGTATTTTCGTATTCATTATGGCGCGCTCGTAAAATACCCTAAACTTGACTGTTAATATGTGATGTTGAGTTTCGACCGTGCTAATCAATGTTCTCAAGTTAGAGTACGTCATTATATATAACTTATATGTCTGACAAAGTGCGTCAAAATGAGTTAGATAGTGGGAAGACTGGTAAGGCGCACTATCGATATAAATCAGCAGCCCAAAAAATTTTTTCGGTTGATTCATTAATATATATTTGGCAACTAAATTTTAAATTTGGGAATCAAATGCTCAGATTTGATGATCGAATTTTAGCTTAATTTGACAAATGCCCCGTAATGTAGGCCGCGATAGACTTTACAAAAGTTTTCAGTTTAAGTAGATAAAGGGTTTTAGATATTCAAGTATAGAGTTCCTATCCATTATCCATTTATCTATCGGATATCCGTTTTACTATTGATATCCGGATAATTATCCGAATATTTGTCGGATTATCCGGATACCAATAGTAAATGGATATCCGGATAAATTCAGATATGGATAAATGGATAACGGATTTATCCGGATTGGACCTCTATTCAAGTAAATTTATATAGTATTAGACATTAATTAGAGCTATGTGAAGTACAAATCACAGGTTGAATCAATGAATAACGGGTACATATCGGGAGACAAATCTCTCGATATGTACCCGTTATTCATTGATTCAACCTGTGAATAGTGATAAGCATTTTAGAATTTTTATTTTATTGTGCGTGACATAAATTACATACTGGATTTTAAATTTTGATAATGTTTTATAAATAGATGGTGTACACAAATTTTTAAATT